GGGGGGGGGGGGGAGAATGGAAGGAAAGGAGTGCCTCAGAGAGCTCCATGGAAGAGTGGCCCAAAGGCAGGAAGAGGGGAACCACAGAAGCCCCGGAAAGATGGCAGCCACATCACAGCAAGGACGTGAGCCGACGCGGGAGAGCCAAAGCACAGACCCTGTGAATGTAAGCTGATATGCTGCTTTTCTTTATCACATTATCTGGTGGCAGTTATTACCCATGGATGGGACTGTTTATTTTTTTTTCTTTTTGATTAATGAATCAGACCAGAGGTTTGGGTGAGGCTATTAGGGGAAGGAGGCGGCCTCATTTTGGGGACCCACTACAGAGTGGGGACCCTGGTGCCAGTGAGGGTGCAGCTTTTGGGGGGCACAGACCCCAGCGCCTGCAGGCGCAATCCTAAAAAGGCCAGGGAGGTCTGGTGCATCTGGGGTGCAACTTTATTTTGGGCTTTTTTTGTACTGAAAGGGTGCAAGTTTGGGGTCATCCTCTGGTTTTGAGCTTGCAACCCCCTGGCTGTGGGGCTGGTGCCCAGACCTCTGGGCCAGGGGGCGCCGGGCTCCAGATTGGAGCAGAAAAGGGGGCCATGAACCTCAACACACCGGAAAAGGCTAGAGCCTCAGAATCAAACCCTGTTTAGTGGGTTTAGACAGGGAGGCCTAGCTAGAGAAAAAGAGGGGTCAGGCCCACAAAGGTGAAAGGCCCCAACACACACAACACATAATAATTTCCACCAAGACGTGGCAGAAGAGTATAAGGCGGGACATAAGAACTCCAAAGAAGGCTCCAAGGGCACCCCACGTAAGGCGTGGATTACCAAGAAGATGGCACTGGGGAGGGCAACCTGTTACACCACCACAGAAAAGGAAGTAGTTGACAGCAGATGGAGACAAGATTCTTTATATGTCCTTTCACAGCTTGGATCCATGAAGAAGAATATATGTGTATAAGACTGTCACTATCTTCTATAGCAAAAACAATTAAGATGTAAGGTTCTTTTAAGAAGAAAATGAGTTTGTTCAGTCACTGCCGTTTTGTGTGATAGTAACACAAATTTTTGCTTGCTTCCTTTCTTCATGTGCTAGCAAAAAAAGATAAGGTTGAAAAGGGGAGTGCTAGGCAAATTGGAAAACAACAAAATATTCCTTCTCATGCAGAGTTTCTACAGCTAGGCTGCTGCTTTAACATTAATGAACTGGTTAAAACTCCACATGGGGCAAGATTTGCCCTACTATCAGGCACAGATTCAGAAGCCCTGATGTTTATTGTTCAATGCACTTAGTTTAATTTGCAGGGACTGCTCCTGAACTTATAATATCGCTTTGCATCTTTTTTATTCTACTTCATCCTCTGACCGAGTTAATATTTCTCCCTGAAACAACTCCTGTAGCTGCTCCACAGATTACAGGTAAGGTGCCAATAATACGACTCATCATTTTCAAAAAATACTTCAAATCCATTGCATTGTTCACTCATTCATTTGAATTAATAAAGATAAGATTCAGCTGAATTTCCTACATGCTTCCAAAAAGGGGAAAAAAAAATCCTTCACTAACCCCATAACCAGGGACCCTGGTTTTCTGTGATAGAAGAATCACAAATTATCTGATAAAGTTGCAAATTCTGATAAAAATCCTAAAATCCATGATTAAAATTAAATGTCCCCCACAGGCCCACTGGTGTCCCTCACTCACCCCCCGCATCCTGGCAATGGCTGCCC